GGGTGGGGGGGGGGGGAGGAGACATGTGTAATACTCTTTGTAATACTTTAAGAAATAAAAAAAGAAAAAGGAATGGAAAATAGGTTGCAGAATGATTACATGTCATACAGAAATTAAAACAATTGGCAATTATCAAAATTCCAGGACATTCTAAAGAGGCCACCACGGAAGCAAAATAAAATAATTTAGCTTATTTTGCAGTAGACCTGTTTTACCATTCCCAAGGGAAATGGACAGAGGTTCCATATACCCAAGGCTTTATGGCTCTCAGAGGTGACCCTAAGCTATGTGCTGCCTATAAACTAGAAATATATTCCCAGATGAATAAACACTACAAAAATGGGTGAATGAATTTGTCAGCCCATTGCTAACATTTGGGTGGCAACCCAATTATTAAGGTTGAATAAATAAATAAATAAATAAATAAATAAATGCTGTCTTTATTTTACAATGCAGTCTTTACAGGGCCACAGGTGTGGTTTGAGAACATCCAAAACCCAATAAATCCGTTACCCTCCTCCATGAGTTCCCCTACTCATCTCAAGAGGTTATAAATAATTGACTTTAAGAAACCAAAGTCCTAGGACTTTGAAATGCAAATAGCTGGACTTCATCAAGAACTCTTATGTGGGACATCTTTTAAAATGGAAACAGCCTAAGTGCCCATCAGTAGATGAATGGATTAGAAAACTGTGGTACATCTACACGATGGAATACTATGCTGCTGTAAAAAAGAAGGAACTCTTACCATTTGCAACAGCATGGATGGAACTGGAAAGCATTATGCTAAGTGAAATAAGCCAGTCAATGAAGGAAAAATACCACATGATCTCACTCATTCATGGATAATAAAGACCATTACAAACTTTTGAACAATAATAGATACAGAGGCAGAGCTGCCTCAAACTGATTGTCAAACTGCAGCGGGAAGGCCAGAGAGGGTTGGGGGGCAGAAGGGAGGGGAGTAAGAGATCAACCGAAGGACTTGTATGCATGCATATAAGCATAACTAATGGACATAAGACACTGGAGGGTAAGGGAGGGCAGGGGATTGTCAAGGGGGGGGGAAGGACACATATGTAATACCCTTTGTAATACTTATTATAATATTTTTTTTAAAAAGAAT